GCCCCTGACGTTCGGCTTGCGATTATCGGTTGATTTCATCGCTACATTTGCTGAAATTTTAGGGTGAATAATGGTAACTCTAAAGCAACAAATTCGTATCTCTTGATATTTACAGACCTTCAAACGTGGTGCACTCTGGTAAATTGGCATATTCATTTAAATTTTAGAATTAGTGCATCATCGTGTGGGGTGATAACTAGATTGTAGTTACTTTGTGGAGTAACCATTGCATATGTTATATTTTAGGAATTACTTGCTCTTAATTGTTACGTGGTTAAGTATTTATTTGATAAAATCAACTTATTATTTTTGTGATATCCTTTGTGTGAAACAGTTTGATTGGCATACATGCTTGTCCCTTGAACGACCACCATCAACAATGAGGCCATCTACATGACCCTCAGATACAACAAGATGCTTCATCTTCTCCTTCGAATATAGATCATCATAGATTTCTTCGACGGTGAGAGTATCACGACTATATAAAATTGTCTCTAAAAGACGTGTATGAAGCAGGCAATGAACACAATAAAATTAATCACAAATCTTCTTCATCGTATTTGACGTTCAATGTCTCCAAATCAGCGACGATTTCCTTAAAGTAATTAGGTGATATTCAAAAGATGTACATTCTGTCATATGATGAGAATATAAACGATGCTTTAAATGCAATTTACTAGTAAGATTCTTCGAAGTGCATAATTGCTCCAATTTTAACTATAACGCAGCGGCTGACATATCCTGAAAAATATTATTTGAAAGATGAAGATATATTTAAGATAGGGGTCTTTCGATCCCTCCATTGTTTTTCCTCCGGAGTCCAAGTTGTGGGCATCTTGTTAAATTCCAACAACGAGTCGAGCTGAAACTCAAAGCTCGGGCTCGACTCGAGTAAAAATAGTTCGAATTTTTTTTTGCCTTTCGCTCGGCCAAAAAATTAGGCTCGAGCCGGCTCGATTTTTTTAAAAATTCGTTATAAATCTAAAAAAAAAAGTAATGAATTTAAAATTTGTGCAATTTATAATTTTTTATTCATGACAAATCTAAATTTTTTTAAAAGAATTTAAAATTTGAGCAATTTATATGTATTATAAATAATAACTTAATATTAACGTATACAAAAAAATACAGCTAAAATTAAAAAAAACTTTAAAAAATAAAAAAAGTTGCAGCTGTATTTTTTTCGTTTTTTCATTTTTTTTTTAGACTTGACTCACGAGCCATTGGCCGAAAACGGCCCGTGACACAGGCTTGTGACGAGCCACATGCTAGCTTCGGGCTCGAGCTAACCTGACTCGGATTTTTTCCGGGCCCAACCCGAGCCATCGAGCCATTTTGTCATCCCTAACAACGCATAATCTATTTGAGCGGGTACTGCTTGCATCTTTACGTACCAAGAAGAGAATCTTATATTGCGATTCAGTAGCATAATATCATACTTCATTGTTGTCATCACGAAAGATCAAGTTGAGCTATTAACTTAATCAAAAACCTCGATCTTCCCAAGAATTTCAAAACCAAAAGCTCTGATACTAGTTTGTTGAGAAACGAAGATAATATCGGATTAATCTAATACCCAATTGTTGGAGAAAATAAAAGATTATAACCACAATATGAAATAATTGATTACAAGGACACAAGAACAAAATAATTTGTAGAGAATAGAGATTTTATTATAATATGGAAAAAGAATACAAAAATTTGTATTTACTATTTTTCTAACTTGTACTAAATCATAGTGAAGAGCAAACTATACATAGGGAACGTCCAAATCCTAATAGTAGGGTTGTAGTTGAATTAGAATGCAAGAAACGTGGTTCAAAACAGAGTAGAGGTGGAAAAATTGTGTAAAGCTGAAAAAAACCCAGGTGGTGCTGCGGCACCCATTCTCGGTTCCTTTACTTCAAAACTTGATTTTCTTCACCCCAGTGTCCTCTTCAAGTTCAACACGAATTCCAACTCTTAATTGGGTTTCAAGTAGAACTTCTACTAAAATTCGTCAAGTAAACTTGAATAAGATTTCATAATGGCATTCCCCTGTGGCTTTTTAGACTCAATCATGATGTCTAATTTCAATTTTAATTTAGTATTATTAGCTCTAATTATTACGTTTTCCAGTCAAATGGAGGGAGAAAAAAAACTCCACTTATTTTTTTAAGAATAAATTTAAACTTGCAAAAAAGTTCTAGCATAAATAAGGGTTTAGCTTTTCAACCTTTTACGTAGTGTGTTTATACGTTCAAAACTTTCAAAAGTGAGGTTTTGAATCCCAACCTATTACAAATGTGATTTTGGATAATGAAAATCATTAATTTAGATGTTAAAATTGCATGCAATTTTAAGCTCAATTGAGGATAAATGTTAAGTGACTTGACAAGTAAGTTAGGGATCCAAAACTTTACTTTTAAAATTAGGGAGATCTATAATCACACCACATGAGAAATTAGAAATCAGACCCTAATTTAAAGGAGTCAAGAAAACAAAAGAATAATGTTATTAGTAAGAAATGCTCATAATCAGCAGTCTACTTGTGTGAGGTTAAGTGCCATATTCATTAATGAAGTAGGAATGTATTTTAATTCTTTGATGAATGTTGAAGTAATCCACTATCATATAGACTGTTATTTGTAACCATTGCTTACAAATAGCATTATTCAAAACAAAAATTGAAATTTGAAGGCTAATCACAAAATAAAAATTGAAATTTGAAGGTAAATTAAAGACTTCGTGGTCTTAATAACATCTCTAAGTTTCTCGGTTCATGACAAGAATCTCGACAAGGGTAGTGATGTTTGACTTGATTGATATGTGTCGAGAGTCCAATATTGAAAATTGTTCGAGAAACTCAATTCTATTAGATAACATAACTGATAGCCTATTTCAGTAAAAATCTGTTGAGGCACTAAACTTACGAGTCATTTTTGTTTTTAAATTTGAACTTAATTTTTTGGTAATTTTCTTTATTTTCTAATTCGTTAGTAATTATTTGCATTATGCTACAGTTATCTCTATGCAACTTATGATTATTTGAAAGAAAAAGAAGGGAAGAAATAGAATTTTCAATTTCTTTAGGTTCCTACTTGAAATTGAAATGAAAAATCATTAAAACTTGGTTGAAAGCCCCTTTTTCTTTTGGGCTGGTCAATTTGTGTCTTTTTGGCATCCAATTTGTAGCCCACTGGTCTTCCAACTGAAGAATAATATGATAACCCAATTTACTTTAATATTGAGAAGTCTGCAGTGGGCTTCCATCTGAAGAATTGTGGAGTTAAATACAACCTTCAATTGATCAAACAAACACTAAGTGAGTTCCAAATCAATTAATAAAATGAAATCAAAATGCTATGAATTAATATAAATACTTCCCCTTCAATATCACAAAGTTTGGCAGCAAAATGGATTGGACAGGACTCAGATCAATAACCCAATAACACACAAAGCATCTCTACAAGAATGAACCAAGAATCCCACTCAAAGCCATGAAGGAAACACCCACTAGAATCACACAGAAACCACCGCACACAGAGGTAGCAAAGGGCAGCAGCTAAGAAGGGAAAAATGGTCGAACGGCATGAGAAGCTAGTAGCCATGACACCGGCCAATTTTTTCATACAAATTTCTAACAAATACCATATCCAAGGCTTGAGTTAGGGGTGGACAAAATGTCCAGACCAAACCAGAATCGAAAAACCAATGGTTCAGTTCGATTCTTAAAAAAAAATTAATAGTTTTGATATTTCTAACCAAGAACCATTTGGTTTTAGTTCTGATTTTGGTTCTGGTTCAATTCTAAAACCAAACTTAATTTTTAATTTTATTTTTTAAAATATATTAATTAGTAGAGACCTAATATTGTATTCATTGGAAACCCATTAATATATTTTGGGTCAATGGAAACAGCCCATTAAATACGTACACCCTAATTTTGTATTCATTTGAATCATTTCTCTTTCATTCTTTTTCAATTTACACAACTCTGTGACATGCAACAACGCATTTCAATACATCAGTGGAAGAGACTCTTCCAAGATCGGAAAATGGAATTGTAGAGTCACTTAAAAAGCTTTTAAACTATTTTTTCACCTTAATTGTTCGATGAATTATTTGTGCTCTTAACAAATAGAGGAAAATCTAATAAACATTCATGGAATATTAAACAGTTCATGGTTGCCTATAAAAGTAAACTTTCAAAGTTTTGCATAATTCATCATTTATTATGGGGTGAATTGTCAAAACTACTGCAATTAATTTAATAAATCATTATTATTACTTATTAGACAATTTTTTTTATGGAAATGAAAATCGATTTTTATATTCAAATTATGACTATATTATTTTTTTTTATTAGTTTGGACTTTTGTGATCTTGATGGTTGATCATTTGAACTTTCTTAATGTTTAATGTTTATTGACTTTTATTTAGATATATATTACAAACTCATGGATTTAAGAAATGAAACTAGAACCAAATCAAATTAAACCAGAATAGAATGGTTCGGTTTCGGTTTGGTTCCATATCTTAAAAGAAAAAAAAATTATTTAGTTCTATTATATAAAAAAAAAAAAATCATTGGTTTATAGTTCGATTCTCTTAAAATCATGTCCACCCCTAACGGGCGCCTCTTCAAAACTTCCATCATTTGGTGGTGGCATTTATGGTGGTAGAGGTCAGCGAAGCCAATGCAAGTCTCAGTATTGTGCGCGACAGTGGTGGGGGAAACCGAAGTTGTATAATAAATGGAAGGCTTTCCGAATTGATTATGCACAGTATTAGAAAATAAAAAAAGAGTGCATAGTAATTTTGAAAATTAGATATTAAAAAAAAGTACTGTGTGTAATTTCCCCTGTAATATTTGTCATATGGCCTAATAAATTAGGATACAAAATAGACTAGATAGTGTCCTGCAAATAAATGAATAGCAGTTACAACAAAGGCGAAAACACTTATGGAAAGGTGAAAATCTAAGAAACCCAACAAGGAGTTCTCGCTAGAAACCTTCATTAGTTAATATAAGCACTGCGAATCCTGTCAACAGACCGATAAAGAAAGTGGAGAACCGGATGGAAAATAGCTCGTAATGGAACCCTAACACACGTGTGCCAACATGACAGGAATCCAACACAAGTTATCTTCATCTTTTCCCAGAAACGAGAGATCAAATCTTGATCTCTATTGACAAGAATGGTAGCCGACTGCACGTAGGCCGATGCTGCATGCTTAACAAGTTCGTTGCGAATGGAAATGTTGGAAGAATCAAATGCATTAGATGGATCATTATTCACTGCATGCTGTGGTGAAGTGCTGAGGATTATGTCCTTCAAGCTCGTATATCGATGATCTTCAATATCGGAAGAAGAATCCTCGCGGCTGAGTGAGATTGCTGAGTCGAATATGCGTTTAAACGAAGGCGATATCTTCAGTTTGGGAAGTTCTTCATCCATTTCTAGCTACCTAGAAGAACTCATGAAACTTATAGTAATCTCCACAAAACCAGATTAATGGGGTTTTGGACAAAATATGAACAATCTTAAAATAATTTCATTGCAAATTAAAAATGGGTTGGAGGGATTTTGTGTTGTGAGTTTTTTGGATGCTATTCTAATGGTAATTAGTTGAAAATTAAGATTAACGTGAATTTGGTTGAATAGGAGGCAAATTTTCAGATTGTACTGACAAGTGGCTGACCTTTGAGAAACAGAAGTTCATTGGCTATCCTAGGATCAAGGACATGGAACCGGACAATAGTAAAATTTATGATAATTTAAGACGTAGTAACGTTCCTATTTACAAGCGTAGGATATGTTTAATCACACTTTGACCTGTGCATTTCGAGGCTATAGAACTGCTGTCAACTTGAGGTTGTTTCCTTAGGTGCCTCCTCAATTCTATTCACAATTTTAAGGTATCAAAAGTTTAGAATATCGCACAAAAAGTTGTAGCGAGCATTATTAAGATTTCGACACGTCAAAATTGTTGTAGACTGTCAAAAAGTTATAGAGAGCTTTAGTAAGATTTCGACACATCGGATAAGTTTAATCACACTTCTCTTTGATCCTCTTAGCACCTAAAGTTCCTAACAAATTCCCACATTTGACGCTACAGCTTATCAAAATCTTCGGTGGTCCAAGTCGAAGAAGAAATGAAAAAACTTCTAGTGGCAATATATATTGAAAAATTCTAGGTCTACATAATTTTCTACATAATGTTTTACCGAATCGACAAGTGGCGACCATCTATTGAGGGGGCGCCCTCCAATAAGTGGCTGCCACTTGTCGATTCGGTAAAACATTATGTAGAAAATTAGGTAAATGCAAGGAAACCGATTCGTTGAAGCTACAAACCACTATACTACTATAATTTGCTTGGATATTATCTAACTAACTATGATTATACATAATTGAATGTTACATTTTAACTAATTATGAGTTTTTCTAACCAACAAATATACATAGTCCTAGTTGAATTTAGTATTTGACTAATTCATGTTAATGTAAACATTGTAAGAAATTCACAAACTGCAAAATTCATAAAATGAAAATCCCGAGAATCAAGTTAAACGACATGAAAAAATGGGAAATAATATTAAAAAATAAATTTAAAAAACTCATTTTGTTTATGTTTTAGTTTTCAATTTTGAATTCATTTTCTATTTTCTATTTTGAGAGTCTCTATTAAAATTGCTAAAAATGTATTTGATTTTTTAATTTGAAAAATGGTTTCTCAAAATAAAAAAATAGAAAACACGTTTGGTTTGAAATTTTGAGAAATTATTTTATAACATTGTATTTCATTAAGTTTGATTATTAAGTAAAATAGAACAATTTTATATCAATATGTTATCCAATAATATATACATTTTAAAATGGATATATCTTACAATATTTTTTCCACTATATAAAATAAAACAAAAATAAATATTAAATTGAGTTGGCAAAATATAAAAAAATAAAAATTAATGACGTGTACTGAAAATTTTTATGTATTTGTTTGAATATATTTTTTTCTAAATTTTTATGTAGATAACCATTAAGCCCTTGTTTGATATCCATTTTTGCTCATTCTCATTCTCATTCTCATTTTTTTTTCTCTTTCTTTATTTCAACCACACATTTTATCAATAAAATAATATTACACATAAACCCAAAAATTTAACTTACTTTTTAACCACACATTCTTCCATCAATCACTATTCCAAATTAAATTCTTTTTCAAAATGGGTGTCAAACAAGGGCTATGCATAAAAAAATCCANAATGGGTGTCAAACAAGGGCTAAAAGTTTGGACTATTTTTCTTTTTGTATTTTTTACAATTTTATGTTTCTAGAATTTTTTAGAAAGTTATTTTTTTTCAAAATTTATATTTTTTATTTTTAGAATTTGTTGATTTTTTTTTTATTTAGAAATTTAGAAATTTATATTTTTGTTTTCCTAAAATTTTTAATTTTTAAAATTTTATGTAAATAAAAATTTATTTGAACATTTCTTTCCCATATTTTAAGTGCTCGTTCTCCATAAAAATATTTAAAACTTCAAAAATGCATTTCGAATTTTATATTATAAGTTTAACCTTTTTCGAAAATATCAAACTAAACGAGTTTTAAAAGTTTTGCAATACTGAAAACTGAAAACAATTAGAAACAGCAAATCAATCGCACCAAAATATTTAAAAATATGAAAGAAGAAAAGTATTCATAATATATTTCTATTTACTTAAAAAATTATTTTAAATTTGTGGAACATCTCAACTCTTAAACAAATTCAAAATTTAAGTTTCCATCTCACCTGATGCACTTATCAGCCCACCGGCATATTCTTATAATCTACTGAGGAAAAATGATACATTAACCGTTTCATTTACTCTCATCAACCTGTAATCTTCTTCAGCAATTCCTACTTCCAAAATGCTCGCCTGCGACTACATGCAGCTCTTGTTCAAAGTGTCCCCACCTTCGACCCATACATACTGTAGTATACACTAGCCTTTAGAGACTTTCACAATCAAAATGTACTACGAAATAATGGAAGTTACTTACCATGTTTATTTCAGTCATGTAATCTCAATATAAGAAGGCTAATCCTAAAGTAGTCCCAAAAGTAACATTCTAGAGCAAAAACATGTAATATTATAGATCAAATCGACAAACAACACCTAAACTAACTGTATTATAGAATATCAGCCATCACGTAGATACAATTCACAAATGGCGGCAAGAGACAGGTTACGACCATTCCATAGATGGCCTGTATTCACTTCTATCAAGACAAACGTATAGGAAGCACACAACTTAATTTCAATTTATGATGGAAAAACTTCTTTTAGCTGTTTTCAGGCAGTTCTGAAAGGGAACTTCAAACAATTCATTTGATTCATTAAAAACAGTCACGTCGTTGCCTTACGCTTGTGTATTAACTTTAGAAATATGATCATTTGAGTCGTGAGAAAAAAGAACTAGATCCAGATAACATTAAGTTCTGAATAATTTCTGTCTAGCACTCATTTTATAAATAGTAAAGCACTTTAATACCAGTATTTCCTTGAAGCAACAGTGTTTACAAATCTTACTTCCGGAGTTTGAACAGCACATTTAAGAAGAAGCCTCCGGAGCTCTGCTTTTTGTTCACCTTTAAGCCTTATATTGCATATCAGTCAACCTCAGTTTTACCTGACCTATGATATAATGAGTATCCCAATATCTCATCCTTTCTCCTTCATTTCCATGGATTTCAACAAAAACTGCATCTCCTTTCTTCTTAGATTCGAATTCTGAAATATCCTAGAGCCCCTGAATTTGATTAAATCAAAGGCATACTAGTCTACCATTCCAAGAATGTTATTCTCTAAATCAATTATTAGCATGATTTAGATACATATTTGAGACTTAATCTGATGCGGGCTAGTCTAGCTCTAGCTCAAAGGCATGCACAATTTACGTGTCACAGATGTAACTCACTGAGACATTAGGCAGTTTTAACATGTAATATTCCATATTTAAGCAGCTTCATGCATTAATCGTTTTTCAATTATTTGATCCTTAGTATAGCACTGTAGATACTTTCATTCCGACATAATAAATATCACAATTATAAACCTCAACAAACTAAACACGTTATCTTCTCATCAATCACCATTTCAAGAAAATTAGTAGAGAAAAAAGAAACGATCATTATCTCAACCAAAATCTTTAGAAAGCAAATAAGGAATCCGTAATTGCAGGAACTAAATCTAAACAAATATCCTCATCTCCCATCATTAAGACAAGATCAACATTTGCTTGAACTACAAATGGAATAAACTGAATAACTTATATGAGGCTCCCTACCAGGCATAAGCTGACTCAATAGGGAAATCCACCAGTTAGAAACTACCCGAGAAGCCTCTGCTACGGGCCAGGCCCTTCATATATGTATAGAAGAAACAAAGATCATGTGTATTTTAGAGGCCAGCTGCAGCACATCCGTATAGATTCACCGGATTGTAACAAACTTATTTGTACCATGTTTCGCCCAGTAACTCTTCAGATCAATCGGGTTAGAGAAATTATAATCTTCTGAAGCAAGTTTCTCCAAGACCTTCTTAAATGCACCAATACTCATCTTACGCCCTGCTATCCTTGCACCACGACGCTTAGTACTCATAGGCAAGGGATAAAGAGACATTCCAGTAGTACAGCATGCAGATTGCCACCCACCAGAGCCCCACCTATAACACTGCTGTGGAGTCCCAGTGCACGAGCAAACTGGTATAGGAATTCCAGAAATATCCATATTGATTCCATTGATCACAACTTCTGCCCGTTTCTTGGGAGCCCTCGACCGCTGAACCGCAGGGCTAGACTCTTCTCTAGGAGCCCTAGGAGCTCTAATCCTAGGTTTTTTCTCTTTGGCAGGAGACTTTGGCACTTTCCCACCTCCCCTCTTCTTAGCAAGAGCAACACCACCGCCACCGTTATCTCCCTCCGTACTTACCTCCTCCATCTGAGGTATGACATTTACATTTTTTGTTATATTAATTTGCTGGGGCATTTGGATGGAATGAGCTGATGAAGTCTCGGGTGAAAGTCCATAATTCAGTTGATAATAGCCATGGTGTTGGTTCACGGGCAAGTTATTGACATACTTTTCTCTGCCGTGATTCATCCAATTCTCCCTTGTATAGTCAACGGGAATGTGGGACTCAGAAAAGCCACCAACGCGATGGTGATGGTACGGCCCGCCATTGATAGAAGCCATGACACCGGAGGGCGGGACTCGGTGTTGATCATGAACATCACCACCAAAAAGAGGCCTTTCAGCCATTGATGACATTAGCTGGAGGCCCAAATGGCTTTTGAGTGGGGCGGTTGCCCTCTCAAGAAACCCCCAATTCCTCAAATTCATACTACCATTTCCGTCCATCTTTATTCTTCCCAAACTACAGAATCACTAAACTGCGAAACAACGAAAAAGCCTCAAAATTCGGCACATGAATGTGTATACCAGGAATTCCAAACTGTAAATTTAGTACGTTTTACAGTCCAAATTACAAACCCTACAAAAACCGCACAAGAATATACAAGTATCAGAAGACAAATCTACCCATATACTCTTTCAGAAAATGCAAACAGACCACAAATCCAAAAAATCTACAACGGAAGAAATGCACAAATTTTGGGTTTCTGAACTCAGATCTGTGGGGAAAACAAATTCAGAACATAATTTAAATTAATCTAAATAATAAAAGGTTTCCCCTAACAAATGTAGTCAAAAACATAGATAGAGAGAGCTTACAGAGAGAAATGAAGGTCGGCTGGATTAGGGTTTGTTTTGCCTTTATCAGATTGTAGCTAGCCTTTTTCCCTGTGAAGGAAATGGAGGTTTTGGTGTTGGAAATGGGAAATTGTTACAAATAAAGAAAAATAACTAATGTCGTGCTCATGCATGAGGACACATGTCACACTCTCGTGATGCCTCATGATTTTCATTGTAATTTTTATTTTTATTTTATCATTTTCATGGTAAATGGTAAGTAATGGACAATTGTATCCCTATAACTCTAAAAATTATAATCATTACATCCCTAGTTCTTCTCAATAAATAGAGTTAGTCTATAGGTACAGAAATTTTACAGAATTTTGAAATGGACGTTGCAGATGCAAAGTTTGGGAAAATATATAAAAACACAGACCGACAGGATGCTGCCACAGGATGCAGCATCCTGTCAATTTTCTGGGAAAATTCCCTGTACTCAGGGAATTCTTCCAATAAATATGTAACTTAAGTTCTCAATAAAATACACACAAGACTATTGACTTTTATTCTCTCTTCTTTTTTATCTCTCTAATTTATAACACACTATCAACACAATTATCTCAAAATCAAAGTGAATTAGTTAGAATGTAATGATTTTTATAAGTATAATAATCATCATCACATGTACCAAAATTAATTTGGTGACGTGTGAATTTTTTTTATCAATTAACACATCCAATTAATGTTTTTGTATTGGTCTATGGAATTAAGCAAACACATAAATAGCGGATTTATGCATAGTCGTTCTAGTGTTTGTTTTACTGTATCGGTATTGATTATTTTACTAATACATGTTACGCATTAATCATGATTATCTTATTGCACTACGAATCATGATTATTTTGTATGTATATGATATATGTATCAATATCCTATTTGTATATCACTTTTGCGTGAATTTTATGTGAATTCAATGACGACAATGTTTATGCATCTATTTGACTAATCAATGATGAAACCAAATTATTTACAATAATATTTCAGAAGATAGTATATATTATTCTAGAAAGAAAATAATTTTCATCAATCTTTCAGAAAAATATTTTATATTATTTTTGAAATGAAATAATCTTAATCAATATTCCAGAAGAATATTGTAATATTGTTGAAAATGAGTAAAATATTTGCATTATTTGTTACTCTGAAGAAGCACGAGTTCACACATACAATATTTAAAATAATATTGTACCATTACTCTTAAAAAAGTATAAAGTATATATTTGTATTTTTGAAGAACCACAACTCTACAAATATTACATTCTGTTAACAAAATATAATCTTGAATAGTAAATATTTCTAAATAATAGTTTGTTGTTGCTCTAAAAGTAGCATAAACATTTTAATTAATATTCCAAAAGAATATTACCTACTCCCAAATAGTATAATTAAATACGATCTAATGTAAACTATATTTTTACTCTTGAAGAGTAAATTCTTGTATAATTTATTATGAAAATATTTGATTACTTCTAAAGAGGATGAATAATAATTTTTAATATTCCAAAAAAAAAACATTAATATATCGCTTTTGAAGAAATAATAATAACAATATGCTCTCGGAATATGACATGTTTTGAAGAATATATCAATTTGAATTCATGTTTATCCCTGAAAAGAGAATATATAATTCGTGTCACGAGGAAATTAATTAGTTTGACTACTTGAATGATATATGATTATATAATGTTTAATCATATTTTTTGAATTAAATAATATTTTATATTGAATTAGAAGTTCAATTTGACTTTATTGTTTGACATGATCAGTTGGACCATCACCGGATCAATAATGATGTAAAATTAAAAACTCAAATAGATATTCAATGAAAAACTAGAAAGATTCTTCAATCCAATAAAATCATATGTGGAGTTGTTCTCTTTTATGAAAATAAGTCATTGTTAGCTAAATATGGACTAAATTCTTTATATTTCTAAAAATTAATTAAGGTAATATATGAGACCCCATCACCTTCCACATAGACTATCTACATATTATTTGTATATAATATATTTGATACAAATGCTAGACGATTTCATGGTGTTCGAACTTGAAGTTTATGAAATTTTTGTTCAAATTATGGGCATTTTTTTACATTATACAATCAAGAATTTGTGTCTTGTTAATGCTAGCATTCTAAATCTCAACTTTTTAATAAGTATTAGTTGGGATGTCAATAAATGGTTTAACATTATTATTTGTTAAACGCCTCCAATTATTTTAATTGAGAACAAAATATTTTTCATTTCTGTTCAGAAAAAGCCATTACACATCATGTCAATATCATAATTCTGCCAATTATAACTTGGTTTATGGTCAAAGCCTAACTTTTTTCATCAAATTATTTCAATAGTACAATATATGTAAAATTGATTCACCGTAATGCATTGAGATGGAAAGTAAAGAATGTTGAGAATAATAATTTGAATCTTTATCTCAAATGAATGATATTTTATAATACGGTTTGTTGATTGTCAATGTGATTGATCAATTTTTTCAGTATTAAGGGAAAAAATTAAGAGGTTGGAAATAATATACAAATGCAACATTATATAAATTCTCGTAAAAGATAATTCGAATCGAAATTTCGAAAGATAATTTATTTAAATGCATTTACGATCAAAGAGATCATTAATATCTCACACATCAATTTTAAATATTCCAACTCGAATTAACATCCTGGATGACAATTAGTTAATATTACATTTGATAAATTTATAGCACGCCTGAAGTATGATGATATTTAATTCTAATATAAAAATCTTCAAATAAAAATGGAACAATTAACAAATATGATCATATTTAGGAGTGCGTCCACTTTTGAAAAGTATGTGGACATAACAAAATGTAAACTCTCGGAAGAGGTTCATGTACCTGATATGTTGAAAATTGAGATATTTCAATAAACTATGGGCGTGTTCGGTTGTGTTTAAAATCCAATTAAAATTGAAAATATAGCAGTTATTGGGTCCCACTCGTCTAATAAAAGTCAACAATAACGACTAGTAAATATAATTGGCCAAATAAAATGACGTAATCTTATCAAATTTGAATTTATTATAGAAACATGAAGTTTCTTAACTTGCAATCTAAGAATTTAAATGTGTACATTCATGTGAAAAAAATGAAATGAGAAAAAGTAAAGTCATGATATGAAATTTATGACTCTTTAAGTGACGACTTGTATAAATAGATAAGTTATCATGTGGTGGATGTAATCACAAGTATCTACGTTGTTAGCGTAACAATGCTGAAATTTGATATACATATAATAAATGTAATTTAAATGATATTATCATGAGGCGGAGTAAATACACATTTTAGGCAAGGTTTTTAATGAGACAACATTGTGGCGCACTCAAAAGAATAATGTACTCTTTTTCGTTCATTAAAATTTTTTCCATAGCATTTTTTTCCTAACAATATTTTAACGATGCATATTCTTTGTGTAATAAATGTTCATAACATACAAGATATTTACCCTCAAAATAATACTTTTATATGCATAGACTCTCGAAAAGATCTACGAAAACCATTTTTCGAATTATCATGTTACCACAGTCATCAAATGTTGATAAATATCTCGTATGAAGACAGTGTTATTTGGAAACTATACAAGACAACATAAGACATATTTCACCAAAAATTACAATATTTAAAATATTGACGTACAATTCAATGATTAGTTGATATAAGAATTGAAATCAGGGGAGCGATAGTACTCTTTTTCTTTCAATCAAGTTTTATCCCACTGAATTTTCTCAAAAAGGTTTTAATGAGACGAATATTTTGTAATATGTCATTTGAGGGGGAGTGCTATAAATAGTAAATCTATCAGTGAATGAAAATTGTACCCCTGCAACACTAAAAATTATTACAATTCCTTCTCTATAAATATGTGGTTTTAGTTCTCAATAAAATACACACAAGTTTATTGACTTTTATTCTCTCTTCTCATTTTCTCTCTAGTTTATAACAATTTTCTTATTTTAAAATTTGGTTGGAAAATGCTTTACACAACAAAAATTCTCATTCAGTCGATACCCACGAGCCTATCCAAAACTGGAAGAAGATTATCCATCTAATTGAATAAACGGGGCTAAGATGAGAAGGGTCGTTGCCCTAAAATGGGTGCGGGACGGGTACGAGAAACATAGTCTTCATCCCGCTTAAAGTTAATTTCAAATATAAGTTTTTTCTCAAACAAAAAAAAAATTTATCATCATTTCTAAAGAGAACATGAGTTGTTCTTAATAAATTAAAAAAAAAATATTCATTAACTAAAAATAAAATAAATAAAAACAATAAATAAATAAGTGGGACAAGGGACATGCCCTACCCCGAACCTAACCAGTTCGCGTGGTTCATCGGTTCCACAACTAAACCCTTAAGAATGATTTAGTTAATACAGAGGTGCGCTTGAGGTAAGAGGTGTGCTGTCCCTATGTGGCTGGGCCCTTCTCCATAAGGCCCTCCTCATCCTCTTTAATCGAGTATGAGGACGGGGTAATGTAACAAAAATATTCGACGAGGTGGGGGATGGGAATGATCGACCAATTCCATACCCGTCCCGTTATTATCCCTATTTACATACATTTTTAAAATTTTCA